TATACTGAGTCACCAATGAGTACCTACAAAGATAATACAGAGTAGACTAAAATACTGAAACAATATAAAGGTTAAAATAATAATAAAGTAATAATTTAAATGAAAGTTGTGGAGAAAGAAACAAACAATATAAAAAGCAACACAGTACAATTTTTTGAAAACTCAAGAGATGAGAAAGAAACAGTAGTAATTTCCATTAAAGGGTATTAAAAATGTAAATGAGACCTATTGCACCTTACCTCTCTTCCCAACAACCAGGATGATTTTCCTGGAATGCTACCCTTGTCCTGCATTTCTAGCCAGACCTGGCTGTGGTTGATGGCATAATGCCTGTATCAGTACTGTATTCACTCCAGAGCTTTTGTTTCCCCTGTACCCTCAAAGGCACTTCTAGTTTCAGTTTCATGTCATGTGGGCCACTTCACTAAGCCCACTCACTTCATCCATCTTCATCTGTGCACTTAGAAGCATAGCAGGTGTTTCAGCAGAGCTGTAACAGTGAATGCATTGGACAGTGAAGTAAGAAACTGATCACTGACTTACATGCTGATGGGGAATCACTGCAGAATCCAAGTGATCTGCTGGGTTTGATCCTAATGTTTTCAGACCCAGGCCCTTCAGAAAGCCACATATGATTGGTCTCACTTCTCACCACAGTGGCCAGTGCCACTAAAGACTTTGCCTGGGCTCCCTATTGTTTAAAACCAGGTGTCTGACTGGCCCTCCTCTTCTCCATAGCTGTCTCTGGTGGCTGTCTCCCAGCTAGGCACTGTGGTAGGGTTTCCAAGGGATTAAATTGTGGGTGTTCCAGTGATTTTAAATCCCTAAGGTAGCTTAGTACTAAACAAAAAGCTTCATCTTAGCATAGTTCATGGTTATACCACTCCCCAGTGGGGACATGTAGCAGTGATTTCAGCTTCACCTCATGAACCAATCTCTGCTAAATTCAAACTTCCTTCAGTGCCTTCCTTACCTCTCGCTAGCCTATGTAGAAATGACGTTAAGAGCTTGCTCTGGATTAGTGTTTGGTTTAAGGAAATGTGACTATTTTATTTTTTCAAATGACTGAAATGTTCTCCAGATAAATAATAAGGATGTTTTAATCTTCTATCATCCATGTGCTTACTAGAACAACACTTTAAATTTCTTTCAGGACCTTTTCACAACTCAACTGTTTGGCACAGAGATGTGTTTTTTGGCCTATCTCTGCCTTCCATATGCCTTCCTCACCAAACTTCAGGGTGAATTGTTTTTGTAGATTTACTTACATTAATTATTTTCATAGTTTGGTATCTGTTTACTCCCATGTTTGCCAGCATTCAGGCTAACCTCCTACAAGTATAAATAGGAATCAGTATGATAGCAATGTTTCTCTTTATACAATTAACTTGCAGCCCCTTAAGGTATATATTCATATGCATTCTTTGTAAAAAACTTTTTTTTTTTTTTCCGGGTACTGGGGATTGAACTCAGAACCCTGCACTTGCCAGGCAAGCACTTATTCTACTGAGCTATCTCCCTGGCCCTCTTTGTAAATGTTAATCATAGCATCATTATTTTTTCATTGTTTTGTGTCCTTAGAAGTAGCTAGTGATAGTGACAAAATTTATGATTCATTCATATATGTATGTGATTCATGTATGATGGTGTCTAAAATATTAGCTAGGATTTTATTCATCCTAGACAAGCGCCAAACCATTCTTATTAAACACCTTGTTAATATAAAAGACAAATAAGACCACCAACCATATATATGGATTTAATGTTTTAACTGAAAACAAAATTTAAATCATTTATTTATATATAAAAACAAATGACCACTATAGACACTTGAAAATCATTTATTCAAGGCATTTTTATATAATCTTGCAATTATAGTATAGTCATATGATAAAGGAATATGAAATAATAATATGAAAATGCAGAGAAGAATAAAGCCAGTGTATGGGCATTTAAAATAGAAGCTCTTCAAAAAAGTTACACATTTTACAAATACAATTACAGAAAAATTTGGGAGAAACTACAATTGCCTTAAAAACATACTACCAAATGCCAAGTCGCTGAGTTGTATGCTATCTATATGTTTATATCCTGTGAGCTAACACTTAATGCATTTTACATTCAAGTTCAATTAATTAAGCACCATTTTAGCTCAAAGAATGAATGCAATGCTTTATGTTCTCAAGTGGGCCAGAACTTTGGGCACCTGGGAATGAAACTTAATTTGTAGATATAATATATTGTGAATATAAATCAAAAAATAAAAATATAGAAAAAGGGTACTTTTAATCTTTTAACATATGTTAGTTTTATTATTATTGTTATTATTATTTTTGGCTGGCTCAGGCTGCCTTAAGGGTGGGTCCGGTAAGGCAGATAGAGGTGGGGATCGAACCGCAGTGTCCTGTGCCTGACTGTATTTAACATGTTAGTTTTAAAGAAAACTTCTTACAAACAAAATATCTCATAACCAGGATTCCAATCTCCTAAAAATTATGTCAGTATCAAAAAAAAATCTTAGTAAACTGTGTTTCCTCTAAAATTTAAGTATCTGGAATGTTTATAAATGTAACTGTCTTACGAGATTTCAAAGAGCAAAAATTGTTATTACAAATAATTCCTAGTGAATAATTACATAGAATTTGTAAATAAAATTATCATATAAAAATATAAAGATTTCTGGAGGCCAAGATGTATTTAAGCCAGACTATGGGCTGAAAAATTATGAAATGATTAATGTGGCAGATAGTGAGCTTATGAAATTTTTTCCCCTTTGTTCCCAGCCACTAAAAAGCTAGCCTCACCTAGGTACTCAGTGTTTGTTGAATTGTTTCTACATCCTTAGTTTAGTGATAATGAATTATGTTCTTTTTGTCATTGGTAATGCTCACCAGCTAATCATTATTTGTGAGTTTTGACATTGATTCAAAAGGACTTCATGTAAGAGTAGAGGGGAGCATCAACATATATCAGACAGGAATTGGACAGCTCAAACTCAGTAGTAAAAATACTGAATGTTAAACCTACACCTAGGAGTTGCTTATGTGCTTAAGACTGAAGGGGGAAGTAATATTCATACAAGGAATAAATAAGAATTTTTAACTTCATAATTGAAAAAACTTTTTGAAAAATAAACCGAATAGTAAATGTTATATTTAATACACAAACATTGCAGGAATTTGAAATATTTTTAATTATTAGAAATACATATGTGCATATAGTTATTAAATTTCTATAAATTAAAAATGGTCGTGAAAAATAATAGTGGTTACAGTTGAAATTGTATGGACATGTACTTTTAGTTGTCAAAAATAAAATAAGGTGAACCTAATGGGTAATAATGACATCTTGCATACTTAGGTTAGAGACAGTGTTTTATAGGTGCAAATGCCTAGCATGTGAGTGTCTGTCTTCAAATGTTGAAGTGCGGATAACAGATAAAATACCTTATTGTTTTCTCTTATATATCTGAACATCTTGATATTGGCTAGTCTTTGATGCAGGGGTAAAAATCTTTGTGAGACAACAGATGTTAAATCCAGAGATGCCAGTCTGGCTCAGAATTAATACTGACAGTAGTTTGTTTGTTTGTTTTTCCTTAAGCAAGGATATTAAAATATCTCTATTAAAAAAGATTACAATTTGAAAGAGTCATTCTATGGTCTTAAACTAAAAAGCACTTTAAGCAAAGGTATCCTGTAACTCAGATACTAGTTCAATGAAAGTTCCATCTGCATCTATTGCTATGGGTGGGTGGAGGTGGGTAAGGACCACGTGTACCATCCCACCCCACACCTGATGACTATTTGCTAAACTTTCCTTGTCCCTTTTATCATGCTATGCACATAATAAGTGCAAAAGTATTAGTAGCTGGTTTTGACTTTACAAATCTGTGACATAAGACAGGATACCAACTCACTTTTAAAATTTTACCTAGTATGTTCTGACACTGCAAATACCTTGCTTGAGATTTTAATACTTACTAAACGTAGGAAAACTCCTGCCTAAGCACCACTAAATTAAGAGTCCATTTTAGTTTCTCTCTGCATCTGTAAGAAAATGATTTTCCAAATTCTGTTGTTACACATAGATTCACAGTATAAAACAAAATCACAGCTGTCTCAGGCTGGACTGTAGTCCTTGGTTTTACATAAAGTACTTTCTTCTCTCTCATTTACCAACCCAAGTACGCAGTACTTGCTAATATGTAGCTTGCTAATTTGGACTATATATCAGATATATACTCACACGTACAGACATCTATAGCCAATTCCTCAATATCCTAGGATGATAATCCATGTACTACTGCCATCTATTGTGTATAATTTTAAAAATTTAGCATTCTTTTTAATAGCTAACCAGTTAAAAATATAGAGAATTGAAGATTTTAACATGTTTTTTCATTTCTTTTAAGTATTTGAGAGACAGTGTGGTTTTGGTGATTTTGGTATGACTTTGATGTCATCGAGGAAATTTTACTTTTACTTAACACTTCAATGTGCTTAAATTTGTATTTTTTGGATGTATCATATCTGTCCCAGAATGACTTCACAGTCACAAAGGTGTCCTATGTATATCAGTTCCTAGAATGATAATTTGAAGAATGTCACTTGAACTGTCTCTGCAAATAGCAAAAGAGTAGAGGGGAGCGTCAAAAAATATCAGACAGGAATTGGACAGCTCAGTTACCTAATTCATTCCAAACAAAAGTTGTCTCAAGTGAAAATGAAATCATGCACTTGATGGAAAGTTATCTGCTAATTATAAAATGTAAACATGATTTTTATATAGGGATATAATTATCTGAATACATATATTGCCATTTTTTGCAAAATAATATTTCTTGACACCAATAGTAATATGTTTGATCTTTCCACAGCACCAAATGTGTCCGTATCTATTCAAAGAGTAGGAGCATCATTTTAACATAATTTACACTAAGACACATATGAGCACATTATTATTATGTTTCACAGAAGCCTCAACACTTTAGAAAATAATCAGTTTAAAGTAATTTTGGCTCAATCATTAAAATATTATTTTCTCTTTTATACGTAATTTTTTAAAAAGTATATGAGGTTTAGATTTCTTCAAAAGAGCCAAGTGTATAACTACAGAATTTAAACACTGTGTTAAAATTCACAAAGTAATGTGAATAAATATTAAAAACTTCCCAAATAGTGCTGATTTAGTTATTCAAAATCCAGTTATGTGCTTTGTTGTAAAAGAGTCCAAACAAAAACTCCTTTCTTATTTTTTGTTCTCTTTTTCAAAATATGTTAATCCTACTGAAGCTAACCTTTTTTTCTAACTTCAGAACACCAGGTACTGATTTATCCATTGGAAGCTGGACTTGCTTCCTAATACCTAGGTTAAGAAAACAAAATACAAGTTATTAAACTGGCAATATTATGAATGAATACTATAGATAAATTTTAACTTAACTTTTAAAAAAATATGTAGCAATTTCTCTTCACCTGAAGAATAAACTCCTGGTGAAATTACTATTAGTAAATGATTTGATGAAAGCAACTATATTAATAACACAACATGTGATTAATGTCTTAGTCTTGATATTTAGAGTCAAAGGTATGACTTCTGAAATGATCAAAAACAAAGCAGGACTGATGAGACCAGCACCTCAACCAAATGAGTCCATTCTAAGTATTACAATTTATGTCTAGATGTCCTATTCAAAGCTTCATGCAGTCATGGAGCTGACTTCTAGAATCTGTGATTGATTATGGTTCAGTGATGGGAATAAGGGTGTGAGTGCTCCACCCACTATAGGTAGATAGCCTGCATAAAATAGAATGAACTTGAGGCTTGCTCCTGCACCCTCCACCAGTGTTTGGCATCTTCTGCTGCCATGTGCTACTCTGCCTTGGACCCAGATGGTTATGGACTGAAACCTTCACATACTATGAGCTCAAATCTTTCCCCCTTTAACCTGTGAATGTCAGGTATTTTGATCCAGCAATGAGAAAAATAACTAAGACACTATGGAACAAACATGGCATATCCACTAAGAAGTGGAGGAGAGGAGCGGTCTCTATATTTTCTTGTATCTGCCCTTCTTCTGGAGGGTTTCAGATACAGACTGGGCCAAGACAGTCAATCAAATATTGTTTGTTTGTTTATTTATTTTTGTGGTACCGGGGATTGAACTCAGACCTTGTGCTTGCAGTACTGGGGACTGAATTTCAGGACCTGAAGGTATCTATGAAGTGGTGAATGGGAGCAGGCCTATAGCTGTCAACAGGTATGCAATGTTAGACCAAAGGCTTTAGGCATTATGGGGTGCAGCAAGCACTTATTCTACTGAGCTATCTCCCCAACCCAAATATTGTTTATTTAAATTTTGATCACAGATCCTCATGTGAGGAAATAAGAATGCACACATAAGTCCAAATCATAGACACTATCAATTAATTTTCAAAAGTTCTGTAAGAAGAAACTTATGCAGAGTATTTTAAAATTGAAGGAGATTTCAGATTCACTGGGTCCATACATTTTGTTTACAATGAAAAAAGTGAGGGAGACAAGATATATCAATGGCTCATGCCTACTTACTGGGTGTCTTGGTTTTTTGTTTGTTTGTTTTTGTTTTTGTTTTTTTTTTTGGCTGGCTCAGGATGCCTTAAGGGCAGGTCTGGTAAGGCATGAGGATCTGGGGATCAATCACAGCATCCTGAGCCTCACTGCTTTGCTTAAGCAGGCACTTAAACAACTGAGCTAATGAGGCCCCCTACTGGGTGGTTTTTGCACACCAATGAAATGTTCTCAAATATTTGGTTGGCCTCACAAATAATCAGAAAACTGAGAGTGATATGTCTGTAGAGTAACAGAAGCACTAAGTCATTAGAGTAGAAAGAAAGTGAGAAAGAAAGGGAGGCAAGGAGGAGAACAAAAGAATAGGAAAGAAAAGACAAAGAAGAAGACAATAATGCTTGCTTGGGAATCACACAGACATAGTCTCCAGAGTGACCATGTGGCTTTAGGAAAGTCATATGCTCTGATAAAAAATCTTCAAAGACTCCCATAGCCTCCAGGAAGAAGTTCAGACTTTTTAGCCTACTCTTTAACACTCCCTATGATCTGCTGTCAGCTGACAGTTTCCATCTATTCTTTGTGCCCACCCATCAGCTCCAAATCTCATCAGCTTAAGCCAAGCCAGAACAGTAAGTTTTGCAATCATGCCCTGCCATTGCCTCCCATTCTGTCATTGTCAACTCCCAGCCCCAATTCAACTCTATCCTAAAGTCACACATTAATCTCAACCCAGAGAAACTGCTCCTTTCTCTGAACTGTAGCAACAGAGACCTGACATGAAAACTCAAAGCAACATTCTTAAGATGAGGGGTTTGGGGTGGTTTTTTTCCTTTTTCTCAGATCAAGGGCTTTGCACTTTTCTCATTATTTCCTACTGACACTTGAGAATCACTACCTGCAATTTCTTTTTGCATTTTTATCTGATCCATGTTACTTGTTAAAATTTCATCTTGACCTGTCTTGCTGTTTAGTTGCAGTCAGTGATAAACTGGTAAATTAAAAATAATCAACTGTTGGTAAGTGGCCACAGCAAGAATCCCTCTTATAGAGTCACAATCTTTTTGGAGTAATGTAGCAATTTTTTTCATTCTAAATATCTGGAACTAACCAGTTTATTAGGTTCTACTCAAAGTGAAGACACATTCCATGTAACAATGGTGATCTCTCAAGGCCCGTTCCTACTGTGATGTCAGTAGTCATATTTCAGAGTCACTAAAGTTATCACAGCAGGAGTCCTTCTACCTCCACTGGAATTTGACTTACTCCCATAGAAGTTTGCATAATAAATCTGTTGCATTTGTGGGTGTATTTCTATCACTCCTCCATTCTATCCTACCTTAAGGGATAGCGTAAGCTATCTGTGAAGTGGTGAATGGGAAGTGGCCAGGCATCAGGCCTACCCCTATGTGATGTTAGCCCAAATGCTTTAGGCACTGTGAAGTACAGCAGGAGACAAAACTTAGCAAAGAAATTAAAAAGTAATCAAAAGGAATTATTGTAAAAATACTACAAGAAGCAGTGGAGGGGCTAGGAGTAACATACCTTTGATTTCCCCTCTGGTTTAAGACCTTACCAAACATACAGCAAAAAGGGGAGCAAGTACATAAATAGATAATGAATAAATTATGAAACTATGGAGATTAAGAATAATTATCAAAGATGTAAATTTTTAGATTACAATACTCTGACCTTCTGAGGGCTTTGGCTAGACTCTGACCCACTTCTGTGACCATAGAACTGGCCAGGTTTTCTGCTCTAAGAATGTCCACAAACAAGTATTTGATTATATTTTTCAGAGTTATCCCTTTGCTGTCATAGCTTCATCTGCCTTGAAAGTGTTGATGGTTGTACAGACAGCTCTGCTCTTTATGTGAGAAGCAAAAGGGACCCTCTAGGAGGTGAGTGCTGTGCCAGCTCCAACCCCAGCTCATGGTGGTTCAAATGGAGCGTGTGTGCCTGGGCTCTACTTTCCCCATAGCCAGGAGCCAGATTGGACCTGGGAGACCTCAAACTACAGATTCAGATGTGGAAAATGCCAACCCCAGTTTTTGTATGAAACATGTTTCCACTGACTGACTTTCTTTGGTAGCTCTGCTATACATTTTGTGTAATTCACAGGCATTAGTGCCTCTCCAACATTAAGGCAAAGCTGATCCAAGCCCAATAACATTCTAATGGTCTTCTCGCTTTCATACAGGTGTCTTTCAGGAGGGATGCAGAGTTATGATCAAAATGTACTTTAAAGAATTCTAGGAATTTCTTCAGGGCTCCTCCAGGGATGGTGGGGAAAAGGCACGAAAGCCAACTTTTGGGTTCCTACAGACTCACCTGCACTGTGTATTGAAAAATTTGACATACTGGCTTCCACACAAGCTTTCTGGGTAAACATTACATTCTGTATATTTGTTTTATATTGAAAACTAAGGGGCCAGGGAGATGGCTCAGTACAGTAAGAATTTGCCTGGCAACCGCAAAGGCCTAAGTTCAATCCCCAGTTCTGCCAAAAAAGGAAAAAGAAAAAGAAAACTAAGTTTTAGGATGATTAAAACCTTGGTATGTCCTTTTTTTCTCTATCATTATTTAAAAGCCTAAAGACCAGCTTTTTGATAGTGTAGACTCTATATAGCAATTTTTACCTTTGGCTTATTTACATGGAAGCTACAGTAGAAGAAATGGAAACATGTAATGTATACTGCCTGGATATGAACTAAAATAGTTTATAACAAAAATTACTCTGAACATGAGGAATAAACAAGCAAGATGAGGGAAAGAAGAAAAGAAAAAAAAAGAAGGGGGAAAAACATGTAAATATATACACAGGATAGCACAGATGACTGTACTATTAATTTCTAGTGTTTCAAAGGCAGCAATTAGTGTTTAAAATTTTTACTTTGATCAACTCTATGTGCTAATATCTATAATATGAGCAACTTCACTGAGGATAACAATGTGTCATATAACAACCACAGTTGGATATCTTTCATCTTATTCTTTTACATGTGTATCATTTCTAATGTTGCATCTATTATTATATAGTCTTTAAAATAAATGAAAAAATAAGAAGTAAAAAGGACAAGGAAAAAAATTAAGGTTTAGTGAAAAGAGTTACTGTGTAATAGCTTGATCAATCTGGCATACCTATATCTGGTAGTCTGCGCAACAAATTTGATGATAACAATACATAATATGGGCCAGGGAGATAGCCCAGTAGAATAAGTGCTTGTCTGGCAAGCACAGGGTCCTGAGTTCAATCCCTGTTACTGAAAAAACAAAACAAAACAAAACCAACAACAACAACAAAAAAAAGAAAAGCCATAATATAACAACCATCCTTAATTTTCTATTCATGTTGTGAAATTCTATATCATTGTTATTGTTCTATGTTGCTTTGTTTTTGTCCTTGTCTTTGTTCTTTTTATTTGTTTAAATAAAAAAAAGGAAATTCCTTATCTAGGCAAATAAACTTACGGTGAAATTGTGCAGCCTGAGGCATAGGCATGATGTCCTGTATACCGAATGTCACAGCGCACAACGTTGTTGCTGTAGTCTGACTCAGGAACCAGGTAGCTGGGATTGACGCTGACCTGAGCAGCATAAACAGCTTTTGTGTAAGAGGTTTCACCATATGGTATACTGGTTATTTTCTAATTCCTTAGGGCTACCACAATTAGGGAATTATTAACAAGAGATTAAGCTAAGTCAGGTGAGGAAGGGAGTGTAAATTAATCTAGTGGCTGAACTCTGTCTAGAGACATTAGAGAAGGAAACTATAATTTTCTCTGAAATTACTTAAAAACGCTTTCATATATTTGGTTTACTTAGAAATCATCTTGAAGGATATACAGTTGCTCCCAGAACATGATTATTTAACCTTTGAATCCTAAAAGGGGGCCTATAGATTTGCAATTAAATGACTACATGTTTTTAAAATCTCTACCTTGAGAATGTAGTTTCCAGGTTGTACGTCTGTAATATCAATCCACTGGCAATCTATGTCTGCTGCATAGGTGTCATAACAACCAGGACTCAAACCCTAAAATAAATAAACAAAATGTTTAAAACTGTGGTATATGGTGAGACTATGCTAAAGAATATACTATTATTTACAAATTAAATTTCTATGTTAGTACTTATAAGAGGCTGACATAGCACTATAATTACATTTCCTCACCCTTAAGAAGTATAAATTACTCATCTAAAGCACTTCTAGCTAATCATCAAGAAGTCAACCAATAACAAATGTTGGAGAGGCTGTGGGGAAGAAGGGACCCTTCTCCATTGTTGGTGGGAGTGCAGGTTGGTACAACCATTAAGGAAATCAGTATGGAGACTCCTCAAAAAGCTAGAAAATGGAGATCCTATTCAAGCCAGCTTTTCCTCTCCTAGGCATTTTTCCAAAAGAACTAAAATCACACCATAGCAATATATTTGCACCCATGTTTATAGCAGCACAATTTGTCATAGCTAAATCTTGGAAACAACCCAAATGCTCATCATCTGAGGAATAGAAAAGGACATGGTATTTTTTTTTTAAATGGAGCACTATTCGGCTATAAAAAAAGATGAATTTGAGGCTTTTATAGGTAAATCGATGCAACTAGAGACTGTATTGGTAGGTGAAATAAATCAGACCTGCTTGTGCAAACATTGTATCATCTTGCTAGTGTGAAAACATAAAAGAGTAAATAAAATCTGAAAGGTATAACAAATATTGTAAAAGGGAAAGAATCTGTTCAATGGGAAGGAAAAACTGGGATAAGGAAAAGGACAAAAGACTAAAATACATACTCCTGCGTATATGCAGGATAGTTTGGATAACTGTACTGCTGATTTCTGCTAGTCTATTGAAAGCAGCAGCCGATGCTTAATTTTTTAAATTATTTTTTTCTTCTTTCTAAATTTTTTAAACCAATTTTTCAGGTTTGTGTCTGGTAACCTGAGCAACTCATTTGAAGATAACATTCTGCAATACAACAACCACTGTGAAATTTCTATTACTTTGTTTAATGAAATTTTGTATCATTTCTAGTGTTTTTCTTTGTACTCTTTTTTTTTTTTTTTTGCGGAACCGGGGATTGAACTCAGGCTCTTGCGCTTGCCAGGGAAGCACTTATTCCACTGAGCCATCTCTCCAGCCCCCTGTATTAAAAAAAAAAAAAATTAAAAGCACCTCTAGCTAAAACAGATACAGAACTAAAAATAAGTAGTGGCACACCTTGCTTCTTAAAGTGCCATAAATTACTAGTGATAAATATAATCTTAAAGGACAAAATAGGAAGGACTCCACCAAAAGTCTAGAATATTATTGGTTCAGGAATAGGGTCATTTAATAGTTAGTTTCGCTGAAATATCTTACTTCCATTTTAAAAATTGTTCTTGTACTGTAAATGTAATGATTATTTTTATACTAGATTTATAGATTTATACTACTTATTTCTATTTCACATCATAATTTGACTAAATGCTATTATATCCTACTATAGATTAAGTTCCTAAAGGTGGAGTCTGTGTTGTATCTCTGAATAGCTAACATTTATTTTTACAATGTGCCAGAAACTACTGAAACTATTTCAAATATGTTACACACACACACACACACACACACACACACACACACACATATATATGTTCAATTCTTACAAATATATAAGGCAGATGTCATTATTATCTCTATTTTATAGATGAGGAAACTGAGGCACACAGTCTCTAGTAACTTACCGAGCTGGTTTCAAGATTAGATAGAGCTCCTGTTTTCAACTACCACATGGCACACTTTCTCACATGCCTGAAATATATTTGTTGAACTCAAGGGATACATATATACCTAAATTGATGAATGTGACTCCTCTCATTTACATAGTATTCCCATCACCATGTAAATCAGTGGTTTGTATATGCAGGAGGAGTAAAACACTATTTAGATATAATCCTTGTTTTTAAGAAAGTCAGGAAAAGTTCTCTCCAGTTGCTGTCTGTAGGTATATTTTTATTTCTATTAGTTCTTCACAAGAAATTTTAACTGTTATTCATCTTCATATTCAATACAGTCATTTAATTTCAGCATCCAAATCTGTTTTGGTGCTTAAGATCACCTTGGTCATTGAAGACATAGCAAAATCATCTTAGCATGCTTTACTTATGCGGATTTGACTACAGCCATATTTGGGGGAAGTGCAAGGAGAATTGTACTTAGCAAATGATAGCACCAACGGGCCAAACTCAAAAGCATTTGCACCAAAGCAGTGAGAACTGTACTGCATCACTGTTGCCTGGGATGAAGACTTTTAGTTCTAGCAGATAATTCTGACACATTGTACATACTCAGTAAATCTCAGCTGCTACCACTACATTCACAATATTGTAAAAGATTCATTGGATTAGGTGACTCTTTAAGACAGGTTTAAATATTACTACTTCCAAGTAAGCAAAAGTACTTTAAAGGATATTAAAATAATTCTATGTGCATGCCTACAATCTCAGCTACTCTGGAGGCTGAAATGGAAGGATCACTTGAACCCAGGAATTCAACACCACCCCAATCTTTTTTAGAGACAGCAAGACCCTGTCTCTAAAAATAATAAATGTAAGAAAAAAAAAAATAAAAATAATAAATGTAAAAATGTTGAAATTGTCAATATAAAATTACTCAGATCATATAATTCGGTTTTGGTTTTTTGAACTGACAAACATAAAACTGGAATTACTAAGTATATAGGCATTTCATGTATGCAAAGCCAAAATATAAAAAAAAGATTGATTAAATATAGAGCATTGGGCTGGTGAGATGGCTCAGTGGTCTAAAGCACCTACTTAGAACAAGCTTAGCTAAAGCACAGGGACCGCGGTTCAATCCCCCAACACCACATGCCAGCCAGCCCCGCCCCCTGGTGGGCTGAGCTAGCCACACACACACACACACACACACACACACACACACACACATAAATAAATAAAATTTAAAAAAAAAAAAATATATATATATATATATATATATAGAGAGAGAGAGAGAGAGAGAGAGAGAGAGAGAGCATTATCCTAGGGTAAGTTAGCTATTTGGTTTTAGCAAAAAAATTAAATATTTGTGATATAATATTAATGTTACTAAGTATTTTTAGTTTTAATATATATATATTCAATATGTGTATTTGGGGTTTTTTTGTGTATTTGGTTTTTAAAGATTTATTTGTTTATTTAGTACAGGGGCTCACTATGCAGCATAGACTCATAGTGATCCTCCTATCTCAGCCATCCTAACACTGGGATTATAGGCATAAGTCACCATGCCTAGTTTTCTTGACTGGCATGGCATACAGTTACAGGGATCAAACTTGGGTCCTTGCACTTTCCAGGCAGGCACTTAGACCACTGAGCTATCTCCTGAACCCCACAATATGTGTATTTTTGTTCTGAAAACACAGAAGTCATATAATAGTATAAATGTAAAGAAACTATCTACACCCAGTTTTATGCCTGCATATACTCAAAAAGGATTATAATAAAAGTAATCTAAGTCAATATTATGTGTTTGTAAAATATATTTTCTATAAATGAGGTCCATGGTCAACGGTCTAATGAAAAGAAAGCCCTACAGCATAAAATGAAGTGGGGCCATCCCATGGAACAGGGGAACCAGAAGTCTGGTGGTACCTCTGACCCCAGATTCAGCCATGTCAGTGCAGAGTGAGCTGTGTGGAGTGCACACTTTTCTGAGTAGGGTAATAAACCCCAGGTCCCTAGTACACACAGTGCCATGGGACTTGGAAATCTGACATGACAATAAGTCTCTGTCTGTGGGGACACATGTGCAACATGTGGGAAGGTTGTGTTTCCTTTTGCTTAAATAATAAGCATACCCACCACACATCAAATCTAACCTTTCCTATTCAATTGCTGTGGTGATCCAAACTAAGAAAAAGAAGCTACAGTAACGTTTAGGTCACCAAAAAGCGTCCTACCACAACCCTGGAATTTTCTTCCCAAGACGCCAAGCTGCTGATGCCGCTGTGCCCGGGTTGTGCACATTCACTGCTTCTGGCCAAGATTTGGGCTGGAGTAAAATTATAATGTCCTCTTACAAGTAGAGTTTCGTATGGAAATACTGACATGGCTTTTAACTGACATATATTTTCCAATTGTAAAACATACAAGTTGCTTAGTTCAGCACTATTATAAAAAGCTCATCCGAAGATATCTGCCATCAATTACACTTCAGGTTTAAATATATATATGGAAAAAGAAATGTGATCTTCTGTTCTGGTTTGCATTATTAAAAAGATAATATTTTAAAAGTCCTTTAAGCAATTTATTTCATTTTGCCAACATCAACTAACTCTTTTCAAGAGTAACATGGAAAAAGAATGGTTTATAGGTGGGAAAAAAGTATATATTTTCTTTTTTAATTTAAAACGTGTATTTTCTGCAGTTACTTATACCCAATTAAAAATACAGAGTACAGATGTTGTAAGCCATTCACAAATTTTCAGACCTCAAATTTCTGCTTTTTTATTATGGAAACTAACAAGGACACACATTGCCCTTCTGTGGTTGTGAGCAGGGCCACAGGCATAACTGGAAATACTTTTAAAAGTAGTCTGTCTCAGAAGAAAGTAACCTGAGTCATGAAGTCATCACTTGACTTTTCCCAATTATTTTTCACCTTGCCAAGATAATCCCAAAACTTAGCAATTAAAAAAACAGGCAAAAAGAAAAGAAATACAATAGCCCCTCACTATTTCATGGTTTGACTTTCGTGGACTCACTGTTTTGCCAGTTTTCAAAAAATATTAATATAAATTATTTTTGAGGATTTTTTGCTATATTGTGGGATTTTGTGACAGTGTACAGTACAATATACATATTTGTATGCCTAGTGTTTATGGTTTTAATGATTTTTGCCTAAAAAATGTAAAACATAAAAATATATTTAAAATGTTAATTCTAACATTAAAAGAATATTAAATTGAAATAAAATATAGCATTTACAGTATATATTTCTTTAGCAGATGAATATATCCTTACTGTACAGTATACATATATTGTTAAAATTACATTAAGTTTATTAGTTTAGAAAATAGATATAAAGAAATATATCTATTTTAGAAAATAAATATAAAGAAACTATCTACAGCCAGTTTTAGGCCTGCATATATTAAAAAGGATTATAATAAAAGTAATTAGAAGTGTTTTTAGAAATGTGGGAAAGGTTTATAAGCTTGTGGGAAGGGTTTATAAAACCTTAAATATAAATATTAAAATAAATATGACATCGTACTTCACTGATTTTTCACTTGTCACAGAGGTGCCTGAAACATAAATCCACAGTAAGTGGAGGACCAATGTAGTGTGCTACTTTGTTTTAGCTCTAAAAACAGTGGGTACTTGATTTTGAGGTGTCTTACCTGTGTGTGTGCAGTACATGCAAATCGCCTATAATAGCCATAGTCACAAGATGTGTCCTCCAGACAGAAACTCGCTTTGTGGCCTTCGGCCACTCTGCTCTGTGTGTTGGCATCCAGCAGGTCATAGTGACTGAATTCATCCATGCTGTGGTAATGTCTGATGTCCCCAACAACAAAGAGATGGTAAGTGGTCAGTTACAGACAGAGAAAGCAATCAAGATAGCAAGTGGCTTCCTTTTGCCTCACAAATTTGGGTTCAGACTAATATTAAGGTCAAGTTTATCTTCTTAAAGATTCCTGCTAGGTTTTTTTTTTCACCCTTCAGGCTTAGAAATCTATCAAAATTATAAGCTTTTAATTTTGCTTCTAGGAAAAAAGACTTATATGTAGTCTTTATGAAGTATTATTTGGTATTAATTAACTGTAGATTACTTTTGGCTGTAGAAATAGTCAACTGCTGTGTCTGCTCAACAGTTTTAATAAGCTGTTAATTAAGAGTTTCTAGTTCAAAAATAAGGGATTTATTAACTGATAGATTATCTTTTTTTTTTGTACCAGGAATCGAACACAGGACCTCATGCTTGCCAGGCTGGTGCTGTGCCACTAAGGTACATCCCTGGGCCACTGATAGATTATCTTAAAGATGATTCCTTTGATTATATCCAATGGCATAGAAAAACTCTAAGTGCAAACAATGGGAAATTTCTGCCTTACATTTATCACATCAATGATTACCTGAAAAATGAAAAACCTCAGATACACTCAGGAAACCATGCACTTACTGGTGACAGCTGTGCCACTCCCAGGAGTATCTCGGGCGGCTTGGTAAGAAGTCAGATGTTCCTTGGTTTTTCACTCGCTGGGGAAATCTTAACAGCACCCTGTAATCATAATCTCTCACATCTGCCCTGTACGCAGAACTGTGATTTTTGAAAAAGAGAAACATTACTATATTCATCAAATGTTAACTAAAGACAAATCTACAAACAAATTATCTCCATATTATAGTATTGGCATCCCCTTCCCAAGTAAATGATTAGTTTCTACTAATATTAGTTTCTACTAATAAGAAAGAGGGGTTATTTTGTTTATTGCTGAATTCCAAGCTCCTAGAATGCTCCTGGAATAGCCAGAACTCAATGAACATTTGGTGAATGAGTAAGTTACTAACACAATGAAAACTCACAGACTTTCAAAATAAAAACAAGAAAATTTCATACTAAAAACTGTATATGAGAAGCAAACTGTGTCTTAAAAAAACACACGTGTGGCCATATTAATGAGCAAAACTGAGGTGGAAATTGTCCCAAATAAAAAGTGAACCATAAGACTGAGGGTGGTGTGCACCTGCAATCCCAGCACTTGGGAGGCTGAAAACAGGAGGCTCATTAGGAGTCTGATATGTGTGGTGAGACCCTGTACACCCTGTACTAAAATACAAAATAATAATAATAATCCATATTTATTTAGAACTTTGAAGGGCCACAAAGGGAGAAGTGAGAAGGGAGATAGCTCAGTAAAACAAGCGCCTGCCTGGCAAGCACAGGGTCCTGAGTTCAATCCTTGGTACCGCAAAAAAAAAAAAAAAAAAGAACTTGAGTTTAATAAAATATTTCTTCTTAAGCAGATAATTAAAATACAAAATGAGGAACTGACTCTAAAAGAACATGCCCAAACTTAAATAAGTAATTTTGTGTTTTTGATTTTTTGTGGGTCTTTTTGCAGTACTGGGGATCAAACTCGGGACCTGTATATGCCAGTCAGGAAATAAAAAAATTTGTAACGTCCCTATCTTCAAACGAAGTCATTAATAATACTAGAGTGGTGTAAGCACAGCAGAACTCAAGAATGTAAAAGAACTTGAATTTCTTCTGTCCTTAGCCTGATAATCACAAAGAGTCAACGTGGAAGAAAAGTAAAACTACGTACTGTGTTCCTACTACTACACTTTCTATGAATGTTTGAATATTATTGGTAACCTTATTGTACATGTTAACATCTTGGCATTGATCAAAACATCTTTTGCTCCCTCTGCTGGTTTCCCGCAGCAAAAACAGGGAACCCCAACTCTAGAATAGCTATTTTATTTTAGGACTGATTAAAAAAAAACAAAAAGCGATTGTTCCTGATCTTACTCTGGCTGAAGTAATAGCAAAACAACCAGTTAATCGTGGCCTAAAACAAAAAGGAAAGCAGATTGTATTAGAAAGAGGTGCCACAGTGGCAGTGTGCCCCAGATCTTTTTGGAGAGTGTTAACAAGCTCTTCTATTACATTTTTTGTACATTCCTGGGCAGTTGTTTTATAGAAAGTTGGCCCTAAAGTTTAAGAATTTTGGAAAAAAGAACCAGAGACTCCTAGTCTCCATTAGAAGGATCTGCTCCGCTTCCCAACATTGGGCCCTCGGTTTGAAACAGAGAACACAGTCGCCTTCCCGGGCATCCTGTCCACTCGGCTTCCCAACGCATCCGCGCTGGACAGGGGGGAGGAGCGGGGAGGGCGCACCTGGCCAGGCAGTTCTCCTCCGCCGCGCAGCGTAGGTTGTACATAGCCATCTTCTGCACGTAGGTGGACGCCTGAATGTAGTAGGGGTCGGGCACCAGGTCCGGGAGACCTAGGTGACAGCGGGGACAAGGGCGGTGGTGAGCCCACTCTCAGCCCCGAGTCCCGCTCGCAGTTCCTCCAGGTCCCCTGCGTGTCCCCTTCTATCACTGGGACCCCGGAATGGTGACAGACACCCCTACGAGAACTAAGGACATCCCAGCTGCGAAGCACAGCAGAAAAGAAGCGGACGGCCAGGCGAGGGTGGGCACTGGGTGCAGAGACAAGCCAAGACTGCGGTGCGGTCGGGGCGGGGTCCTTACCGTACTGGAAGTAGCCGGTGCCATAGCCCGGGCGGTATCTACCCGCTGGCCGGGGCCGCTCGTATGTGTCGTAGTAGTTGTAGTAGGGGTTGTCGTCGGAGTACTTGTAGGGGTTGTACGGGTCGTCGCCCACCATGCGGTCCACGTGGCGCTGTGGCTGCGGAGTACCGGGCTCCGGGGACGCGAGCGGACCCGACGCAGTGCGGTTCTCCGCGCGCGAGGCGCTGGCGTCGCTGGCCGCGGTGGACCCGGTTCGCAACCGGCGGCGGGCTGCTGGCCCCGGCGGGCCGTCGCGCAAGAGCAGGACCGGCGTGCGCTGCTGCGGGGCGGCACCCGGGTCGCGGCGGCTGGGTGGCCGGTAGCGCGCGCCCAGGCTCAGCAGGCTGAACACCTGCCCGCGGTTCTCCCACCGGAGGCGCTGGCGCCAGGCGCCGGGGGCCGCGGGCTCGCGCGGGGGCTGCGGGGCGCCGCGCAGGAGCGGGCAGAGCTGCAGCTGCCCCAGCAGGAGCACGGCCCAGGCAGCGCGCATCGCTCCGGTCCGGGTCCGGGAAGAACCGGCAGGGGACGGGAGGCCCGGTCTCGGACGCGTGAATACGGAGAAGGACTGGGCGGTGCGAGGAGCGCGGGGTCCCTGCCCCGAGTGCTGCGTGGAGTGGCCCGGACCCTGCCTGCGAGGCGGCAGTCGGACGTGGCACCGGCTCTTGTGATCCTGGTCCTGGAAGGCAACGGACGGCGCGACCCGTCGAGCCGGCAGTGTCTGCGGTGAAGGAAGGAGGGCAGATTTTAAACTTGCTGGCAAGTTTGCAAAGTTACACAAGCCGTTCTGGCCTGGCTGCCCCTCCGCTATTTGTTCACGTAATGCGATTGGGAACGTGCAAGGCAGACAGCCCGAGCCTCGGCCCCTCCCTCCCCTGACCCCCTCCTTTTCTCTCTCGGTCCCCTCTTCTCCCACCCCTCCCGCTTCTCCCTCCCCTCCTCCTTCCTCTCCTCCCTCTCAATTCGCCCTCCCCTCCGTTCTCTTCCCTCCCCTCCCTCTCTTTTCCTCCCCTTCCTCTTAATTCCCCCTCCCTTCTCCCCTCCCTTACCCTCCTCCCCCTTCTCCCTGGATTCTCTTCTCTTCCCCTCCCCCATCCCTCCCCCTCCCGCCTCCTCCCCCAGACACGTTGCACTGGGCACTTTAAGCGGAAAGGACTAAACGGAACACGCATCCTGAGACACACTCTGCTTAATCTGGGGCAAACATGCAGGAATTTCAAAAGGCTCAGACAGGCTAAGGCAGCCAGGCCATGGGCTGGTGCCAAAATATGCATGAAGAAAAATGCTGTTAGGTCACCAGCCCTAGCAAGGCCGGCAGGCGAGAAGGCAGAAGTCAGGGGGTGCCTGGGCGAAAGTGTATGTTGGGGAGGCGGTTGTGACTAATGTTTATCCATAAAGAAGTTAACCAGACAGATTTCCCAGTGCTCACTCATCCGCTTTTATGGGAAGTGCCCTCAGCAAATAAACTCCAGGATATCAAATTTTGTTTTTCTGACTATAGGTAATATGAGAAATGGGTTACAAATCTGTTTCCTACAGTGAATATTGTAATAACCAAAAGTGAAATTTTACAGGAATGAAGCTTGCTAACGCTGAAGCAATGAACAAACCTGAGTCTTTCAAAAGCCTGGCCGATGTGTACTGAGAGAAAAGGAGATCATGATGCATCTCCGCCAGGCACCGGAGGGGATCTTTGGTCTGCCTAGGAGAGCTCAGAAAGCACCCTCAGGCATTTTATCTGATGTTTTTCCCTTTTCCTCTACACCTAATGAGGAGGCTTGGCAGATTTTACAAATTTAACTCACCATTGTCAAATATTAAAAGTAAAATCTCCCATGGTTCTTCATTTATCTTGCAGTCTAAAGAAATGGGTTTTGAAAAAAACAGACTTGGAGTCAGAATTTGGTAAAAAGAAGTGGATGGGGTGGTCAGGAGCAATATGGATAGGTGGATAAATTATGCTGTCTAGAAACAAATGTTTAGTAGGCTAGTACTTCACACCTGACTCACAGTTGGGCAGTGCAGGAAACCTCACAAACAAAACTGCTGCTAGACTCATTTAAAACTATTATACAGAATTAGTTTAGATAACCTTTTTATTGGTCACATCACTGAACTGTCTAGATGTATGTCAATATTCATTTATCTCCATTATCTATCTCTCTTGTCTAGGTCCTTCCTCAGTTAATTACCCTCTTTAGTGCTGTGGTGGACATTTGCTGCTTTGCCTCCTTCAGATCCCTTTCCCTTCTGTTAAGGACAACTACATATGCTTTTGGGAAACATCCTCCCGGTAGCATTCTGAGCATTTCTGAGTTGTTGCCCCATCAGGCAATTGTCATGAGATCCTGATTTGGCTAATCAAGTTGACTTCCTAGAGTTTGAAACTCAAATGGAAAGACACATGGTCAAAGATACTGCTTCTCCCACTTCTAAAAAAAGTGTCTATTATGTCTCGAGCTGTTTGAACCTAGTGTACACTCCAAGACCTAGTGCTTCAGCTTTCCCTTCAATTTTTCCAGTGCATTTGTGTGTGTGTGTGTGTGTGTCTGTCTGTCTGTCTGTCTGTCTGTCTTTCCCATCTCAGATTCCATTTTTTGAGATTCGCATGATTTTGAGTTTAGAATGATGAGTTGTCTCTTGCAGTCACATTACATTTGATCTGCCTGTGACCACACAGCAGCCTTGGTCACAAAGGGAAATTAGAGGGAAGTTTGCTAATAGCAAATCTATTGCTTGAATGAGGAAAATAAAAACACAAGTGCAAATTCACTGATGATTAATCAAAATGAATTTTTCTGAATAAAAGATGGTAATATTCCTGTCATTTTAGATTTTCTGTAGTGCTTAAAACTAAACTACTCAGTTTCTCCAAATTTACTAAAGAATAAGAATCCAGTGTATGTACTTTTAATAGATGAAATTATAGAATAATCTATAAAGTATAGAGTGTAATTGTCTTTTAGCTGAAGAAAAGTTCTGTAGTATGCCCATGAAGAGCTTATTCTTCAGAAGAGAAAAACCCAAAACTGCTGTTAATTGACCACAGGTTCCTGAGAGAAGGCCTCTGCTATTAGGATACAGAGTTGGAGGGTAGAAAGTTTATGCTGAGTCACAGGTAAAGTAATCTTTTTCCCCATCCGGATGCTCTCATTTTTAAAAAGATACATGTATCTTTACAGGCCTGATGTACTATCTCTGAGTCTTAGATATTTGTAATATTCAAGGATGCACCCAAATATTTTTAAAAGTATTTTTCCTGGCTTTAGAATGTTTGCTTTTTATGACTATCCAAGGAATTCCAATACTTTCAAATAACTTACCATAATGTCTCTGAATGATTACTATGATCATTAATACTTAAATAATTTCTTTGTGGACTTTAAACCATTGGGTTTAAAGAGCCTGCAGATTACAATTTTGTCTTTCTACATGTTTATCATCAGAGAACTCATATATTCATTTGTGTTACAAACATTTCCTTACCACATTCATAATACCTAGTGGTGAATTGCACACAGGAGCATTAAATTTTTATAACTGAATGAGACTGATCATTTTAATGTTTATCAAAATATAAATAACTGGCTAGAACAGTTATGTATGCTTTTTATTTTCTTCAGGCTTGTTAATGCAAACAAGGAGCTTAAAAATGAAGAGTCAGATTGGTAATTTACATACATGAATACAGGATCAGATTGACACAAAATATTAAACATTGTTCCCAACACTGTTTATGTAAGGTAATCCTAATTTCTCTTGCTAAGGAAGTGGGTCTTATCATTAGGCTAATCTCTTAGTAAAACTACAGAGCATAATGCTGTTAGTTACACAGTGAATTTCAAAATTTAAGAGTTTAATATTAAAACTGGGAAAAGCTAAAATGACTTCATTGTCATTGTAAAATTAATACATTCCCATTTAAATTCTCTTCTACAGTCCAAGGCCAGAATAATTTTTTTTTAAATCAGGCAGGTGCTTATGCCACTGAGCTATCTCCCCAGCCAACAAATGTTAAATTAAAACTGTTAAATCAAATTTCAATGCAAGAGAAACAATTGCATCTCTATTTTAAATCTTATTTGGGGCTGAGGAGATAGCTTAGCAGTCTAAGTTCCTGCCTGGCAAGCATAAGATCCCCAGTTCAATCCCCAGTACTGCGTACTGCACAAGGTACTGGCCCTGGAACTGGGCATGGTGGGTGTATGCCTGTAATCCCAGCACTGGGGAGGCTAAGACAAGGAGGATCACTACAAGTCTGAACTGTGTAGAAAGACCCTGTATCAAATAAATAATTTTTTTAAAAAATAAATCTTACCAACTTTGCAAATTTTCATACTAAAATATCTTATCTTTTTAATGTAAACTACAGCATTATACGCTATACTGTGTATTAAATAGATAATATAAAAATAGGACACACAAATATAAAAGTTTTCTAAAACTAAAAGTACATTATCAGTAAGAAGGGTATTAATACTGCCAGGTTTGAAGACATACAGTACAAAAATGTTGCACATATCTACAAAAATAAAATAATACTGATAGATAAAAATCAGCTAATGTTGTTAACAAGTTGGGTCCATAATAATTAACATTTGGAAACAGTTATGAGCCAAATAATAATGGCACATCCATGACTGAAGTGCAAACACATGGATAAAGCAGATTAGAAAATTTCCTTTTCATTTCTGTAGAGAAATTCTGAAAGCCAATTAACACAAAATGAATACTGAGGAATTAAAGGATGAACTGTTCTAGTGTTTTAGTTTTTATGAAAGAAAGAAAACAGAAAATCCTGAGAAATGACACTTGCAGCACGCAAGCCTTGCTTTCTGCCAAGGGAGATACAGAGCTTCGTGTCCTATCCTTCATATTTGTTTCCATGCACTCAGTACAGTCACAAACACTGTTAACTTTGATATCCTTACCAGTATCAACACTGTTGGGCCCTGCAATCAGAACTCAGTAACAATCTTTTGAACTCCATTTAAAATCACATGTGTAGAAACTTCAATTCTTCATCAGCTGCTTTCCTAAGGCTAACAATACACTTTAAATGATAATATACTGAACGGTGACATCTAAATATTACAAATGATTATCTTCTGGAATTTATAAAAGGTAATAGCATGGTTTGGAACCGTATTATACTTCTCTTGAAGGGAATTTTGTAGTGCAGGAGTTCTCACATATTAAAAAACATAATAAAATACTGAATTGGACTTAGCTTTAGCTTTAAACATATGTATGCCAATGAAACATTGTAAAATTTCTCCCAATTGTATAGCAGAAGAATAAACCAAAGTAAGAGTGATAAACACACACACACACACACACACACACACACACACACACACCCCTATAACCTAGGAAGAAAAAATGCATAACCTGTTGTTACATAATATAGAGCTTAGGTGATTTCTGTCTCTAATTTCCTCTAAATTATCCCTGGCTTACAACTTAGCTGAAAAACAAATATGTAACCATCACATTGAGGACAACAGAAAGTGTTCTCAAGCCCTATGAGAGACAGTCTGGCCACACATGTTGCTTTCTCTCTAATGAAAAAACTATCAGCTACAAAACTGGAGCAACTACAATTCCTTCCCATTAAGCACTGAAATTAATAATGAATTAATAATGGTGGTGATGATAGCTGTAGATGTGTAACAAATATCTCCAGCTCTTAATGTTAATAAGATCCATAATTTATTCACTTTTGACTATGAAACTTTGTTATTGTGAACATTTCTACAGTGTGTCCCATAAAAAAGAGATGCAATGATTCCAATTCTTTTTTTTTTTTTAGATTCTAGCTCAT